TCATTAATTTTGGGGGTCTCCCATCATTAAATTTTGGGGCTCCCCACCATTAACTGAGTTTGGGGCCGCCTCATCAACAATCCTGGGGTGGGTCCCACCATTTAACTCGGGTTCCTCCCACCCCAGACCCGCTCCCAGCCCAACCCTCACGCCCTCCCCTGCTGCCCCCCTTTCCCCTCATGCTGGGCCGTTTTTGGGGTGCGAGGGGGGCTGGATTTTGGGGTGCCAAGGTGGGTTTTTTGGCCATGCTGCCCCCCCGAACCAAGCCGTGCTCTTACCTAAGCCGTGACCTCCGATGGAAACTACAGCGTGGGGGGGGTGGGCGTGGGGGGGTGTGGGCAGAGAAGCAAGAAATCCAGTGAGACACAGCCGTGAGCCCCCCGAAACCCCCCAAAACCCCCCAAAACACCCCAAAAAAAATCCCCTTTTCCCCCCCTTAGTGCCCCTTTTCCCAGCAGGGTTGTGCCCCCTCCCCGTTCCTGAGTGGAATTTCGTGATGGGGAGGGTGGGAGGTTCCCATGTGGTTTTTGGGGCCGTTTTTTTCCGCCGTTTTTTGAGGTGTTCTCTCCCAGTTTTCGGGGGGGTTCTCCCCGGTGTCGGGGCTCACCGGTGACCGTGCACTTGCTGGCGTCGCCGGTGGGCACGGCGCGGATGCGGTAGGGCGAGTAGGGGATCTCGTCCCCGCCGTATTTGATCAGGATGGTGTAGCGCCCCGTCATGTCCGGCACGTAGGACACGGTGTAGGTGCCGTCCTGATTGTCCCGGATCGAGGCTTTCTTGGGCTTCCCCTCGGGATCCTGAGCGGGGGAAAAATGGGAATTCTGGCAGTTGGAGAGGTGAGGATGGGAATTGGGGCAGTTTTGGGGTGTGGGGTTGGATTTTAGGGCTGGGAAAAAGGAGCCCAGAGATCCCAGGTGGGGTCATGCTCTCGTGGGATTCTCCTCAGGATCCTGAGGGGAAAACGTGGGAATTTTGGCCGTTGGAGAGATGAGAATGGGAATTTGAGCAGTTTTGGGTGTGGGGTTGGATTTTAGGGCTGGGAAAAAGGAGCCCAGAGATCCCAGGTGGGGTCATGCTCTCGTGGGATTCTCCTCAGGATCCTGAGGGGAAAACGTGGGAATTTTGGCCGTTGGAGAGATGAAAATGGGAATTTGAGCAGTTTTGGGTGTGGGGTTGGATTTTAGGGCTGGGAAAAAGGAGCCCAGAGATCCCAGGTGGGGTCATGCTCTCGTGGGATTCTCCTCAGGATCCTGAGGGGAAAACGTGGGAATTCTGGCAGTTGGAGAGGTGAGAATGGGAATTGGGGCAGTTTTGGGTGTGGGGTTGGATTTTAGGGCTGGGAAAAAGGAGCCCAGAGGTCCCAGGTGGGGTCAAGCTCTCTTGGGATTGCCCTCGGGATCCTGAGGGGAAAAAGCTTTTCCTGAGGGAAGAAAGTGGGAATTTTGGCCATTGGAGAGGTGAGGATGGGAATTTGGGCAGTTTTGGGTTGTGGGGTTGGATTTTAGGGCTGGGAAAAAGGAGCCCAGAGATCCCAGGTGGGGTCAAGCTCTCTTGGGATTCTCCTCAGGATCCTGAGGGAAAAAAGTTGCTCATGAGGGGAAAAAGTGGGAATTCTGGCAGTTGGAGAGGTGAGAATGGGAATTGGGGCAGTTTTGGGGTGTGGGGTTGGATTTTAGGGACTGGGAAAAAGGAGCCCAGAGGTCCCAGGTGGGGTCAAGCTCCCGTGGGATTCTCCTCAGGATCCTGAGGGGGAAAAGTGGGAATTTCAGCCATTGGAGAGGTGAGAATGGGAATTGGGGCAGTTTTGGGTTGTGGGGTTGGATTTTAGGGCTGGGAAAAAGGATCCCAGAAATCCCAGGTAGGGTCATGCTCTCTTGGGATTCTCCTCAGGATCCTGAGGGGAGTTTTTCATGAGGGGAAAAAGTGGGAATTTTGGCCGTTGGTGAGGTGAATATGGGAATTTGGGCAGTTGTTGAGGTGAGAATGGGAATTTTGGTGGTTGAGAGGTGGAAAAATGAAAATTTGAGCTGGCAAAAAGGATCTCAGAGCTCCTAGGTGGGGTCATGCTCCCTTGGGCTTCCCTTCGAGATCCTGAGGGGAAAAAGCTTTTCCTGAGGGAAAAAAGTGGGAATTTTGGCCATTGGAGAGGTGAGAATGGGAATTTGGGCAGTTTTGGGTGTGGGGTTGGATTTTAGGGCTGGGAAAAATGATCCCAGAAATCCCAGCTAGGGTCATGCTCTCTTGGGATTCCCCTCAGGTTCCTGAGGGGAAAAAGCAGGAATTTCAGCCATTGGTGAAGTGAGAATGGGAATTTTGGTGGTTGGGAGGTGGAAAATGAGAAATTGGGTGGTTTTGGGTGCAGGGTTGGATTTTAGGGCTGAGAAAAAGGAGCCCAGAGATCCTGGGTGGGGTCAAGGTCCTGTGGGATTCCCTTCAGGATGCTGAGGGGCAAAAGACTTGGATTTAGGGGATGTGGTGTGGGTCTGGGGGTAAAAAAAATGGCAATTAGTGAATGTGGAATGGAGTTTCGGGGGGAAAAAATGGAAATTAAGGACTGTGGGGCCACCAGAGCGCAAAAATTCTCCCCTCCACCACGAAACCCAACCGCGCCACCACAACCACCCCCCGTCCATCACCTCCCACCTCCCAAAAACCCCCCAAAAAACCCCCAAAACTCATCCCCCCCGTCCCCCCGGACCCCAAAACCCCGCGGGCACCGTGATCTGCACGGCCAGCAGCCCCTCGCCGGCGTCCTTGGCGTCGATGGTGAACTCCACGGGCAGGCTGGCCGGCACGCCCGTGGTGTTGAGCCCGGGGCCGCTCGCCCGCACCTTGCTGGCGTCGTGCGTGGGCAGCGCCTTCACCTTGAAGGGGCTTTTGGGGAGGAATTTCGGGGGTCAGGACACCCCAAAATCCCCTGGGGAGCCACCCAAAAGGTCCCCGCCGGGCGCACCTGCGGGGCACCTCGTGGTCGCCGTAGCGCACGGAGATGGTGTAGGGTCCCTCGCGGGACGGGACGTAGGACACGCGCCGCGTGCCGTCGCCGTTGTCCGCCACGTCCACGGGCTCCAGCACGCCTGACGGGGGGGGAAAATGGGGTGGTTTGGGGTTTTTTGGGGCTTTTATGGGGTTTTGGGGGTTTTATGGGGGTTTTAAGGGGGTTTTTATAGAACTTTATGGGGTTTTTATAGAGCTTTATGGGGTTTTTGGGGGTTTTATGGGGGT